AAGAAGCCTAAAAATAGTCAACGTTAATGAAAGAGGCTCTAAGATAAAGAGGGTGGTTTTTTTTTCACCCGCGGTAGGAAAATTATCAGGTTCTGCCAGGGTAGTGTGTATCCAATTTCTCAAACTTATTTACTGTCCTCCTTTGAAAAAGAAGTAGGGTGTGGATATTCAGCATCAAAGTATCCTTCTGCAGCGCTTATTAAAAATATAACTTATCAGATGTATTTTCTTGCAACTTGAAAAGAGTAGGACTTCGTTGTGGCGGTCAAAATGTTTGGCAGCTAATTTAAGGGTTAGAGTGGCTTTACATAGATGGCTAAAGTTGTCGTCTGCATGAAACTAACGCCAGCAAACCTGCACATTATGTAATGGCTCTTATGATCTGGCTACTATTTGCGATTTTGATAAACGTGAATTACGTAGCATCTTTTAGCCGTTATTTTGATGAAGCTATTTTATCTCTTCAATTGGCTTTCCGGATATGTTTGATCAGTTCCCAGAAATAAGTTTCTTTCATTTTAAGCGGGATTTAAACATATCCACTTTGGTAGCTAGGGCTTATGTGGTCCTTCAAAGAGGGCATGAAAATATGAGCCGGCCGGAATATAGGGGTCTTTGCACTAAATTCCGAGGAAAATGGGGTCCGTGATGGTGAATTCCACGCGAGCAGTAGATTGGGTGGGTAAGTCAACCCAAATGGGATTCAATTCACGGCTCACGGTGAGCCTCGTAGCTCAATGGTAGAGCGTTGGCTGCGCAAAAGCCTTCCCTGCGTTCGAATCCCACCAAGGTCGAAAACTCTTCACAATTGGGTCAAGTTAATTATTCAAATCTTCCAAACCCTCCTAATAATTAAGTGAGCCTAGTAGTCATTCTGGTAGAAACTAAATGATTACTTAGGAAATCCTGCTTGGGCAGTCAGCTTACAGTATCTGTAATGGCGGATTCCACAGGAGCAGTAGGTTGGGCAGGTAAATCGACCCAAATGTGACTAAATTCACGGTTCACGGTGAGCCGCGTAGCTCACTGGTAGAGCGTTGGCTACGCAAAAGCCTTCCCTAGTGTGCGGGGGTTCGACTCCCACCCAGAACGGGAATTTTTCACAATAAGGGCAACTGAATTTTTCAAATCTGTCAAATCCTCAAAATAATGGTTGAGCTTATGTTTAGAATAGCACTTAAGTTTAGGACTAGGCTTAAGGTTGGAGCCTTGATAGGCGTTAAGGAAACGTTTGGATAAAATGCAGGGTTAAGTTAAGGGTAGGTATTAATTCTAGGGTTAAATTTAAGATAAGGTTTAGGACTTATGTTAGGATTAAGACAGGGGTATATGTCCCCTTCAGAACCAAGTTCACTACTTAGACGGGGAATTCCTATTCCCGTACCCTGTTTAGGTAGCCAGACACGTAGCCTTTTTTATAAAATTGTTATTTCTAACGAACATTATAATGCTTTCAAGATCTCTTTTTGTTTTCTCATTTAGCCGAAACTCTCTTATGGTTAATTTGCTGTTTCGATTGATTTTTTTGGTTTCTTTTTTCCTGCTGAACGAGAAGTATCGTGAATTTACGCATAATTTGCAAGTTATGCCACCGTCGAATAAAATAAAATCTCTTTTTGAACGGGCCACCAATATTGTCACATTGATTCGCAAATCAACTGTGGAGCTAAAACAAAACCTGATCGATTACATGTGGAACGAGGCAAGCAAGCAAGAAAGACAAAGGTAATTGGGGATAATTCGGGACTGCATTTTGAACTATTATTTTTAAGTGACATACTTTTCACAAGTAATCGCTGCCTTACTTGAACGTATAATATCTTTTTTGCTTGTCGGCCAAATCATGTACAGAGCCAATGAAAGGATTTCAATAGGCAGCATGGTGTGGGTTAAAAATGCGTGTTTAGCAAAAGCAACAAGGCGCTGCAGTCTTCAACATAAATTTTGTATGTAACAATTGGCCGAAAACCGTTGTCACTGATGGGCTACTGATAAAATTGCTGAGGCCTGTTTTTGGAAGCCCTCTCATAATTCTTTTTGCCATCATTGCAAGCGTTCTCTATAACGAACGCCTGTAAATAGAACGCTAGGATAGCACCACTGACGGCAAGCAGAAAAGCCCCTTTGCAGACAAAAATGAAACATAAATATAAGAAATTACGAAAGAGCTGCCACAGGACGTCAGCAGTTTTAAACTTGAGCTTAAATAAACGAGAGTCGAATAACCCGGAACTATTCTGCCATTATGCCTAGCGTTATCAGAAATTTTAGACACGATGTCTACAATAAGTTTCATACGCTACCTTCATCACATTTGCCTTGCCCACGCACAGACACACATACACACACAGCGGGCACGATGAAAAAGCAAAAAGAAGCATATCACGGGGCATGGCCCCATTTACTGACAAAGTTCCTATGGAACAGGTTATATCGGTCGCACGAGTCGGCACTTGTCCAAAAGAATACAGGAACACCTCCCGGCATGGCTAATCAAAGGTGAAATCAGGAGTATAAACAGCGTGATTATTGCCCAAATTGTTGATTCCGGACATCGTATGGACCCCAACGAAGCCTTCAGGGTGATTTATAATGTCCCAACAAACTACCCAAAGTCCCTGAGTCAGTGCCTGCTAACAACAGCAAAAGCGACCGCTATCAGGCTGAGGAAGCCGGCGTTGTGTGCGCAAAAGAACTTCCTACAAGCTCCACGTCTGGCATGACCTACGGCCACTTAGCTGCATGTACGCATCCGCGCTCCCTTGGTCTCACTCTTCCCTCCCTCCCCTCCGATTCCCACCACTTGCCAGCAAGAAAAGACGAGCATTACTGGCCGCCTTTTTAACTTGTATCCCGTTCCCATATAAATGTAATGGCCCGATGAGAATTTATCCAAAGCCTACGTACGTTCGCCAACTAATCTTCTGAAAAGCTTAAGTGCCCAACCCATCTACGCGTGCCACGCACGACCTGGTCCATAACTGTACGTGATTCATGCTTCACTGGAAAGATTTTGGACACGAAGCATGGGAATATCACAAAATCTACTGGGAAGAAGCCACGCCAGCCTGACCATCAGTCCTGAATAGAACTGAGTTATATCGGCAATTGAGAACTCCCAGTTTTTAGCTTTCGTGTGTGCAGTCGATTGCGAACTGGTGAATTTGCCTTATCTGACTTTGAAGTTCTGGAAGCATCACCGGCTTTGGATCAATCAACGCGCCAACCGTAACTTAACTCGAAAACTAACCAAGCACAACTCGTTACTGTAACTTAGAATAGTTTCGTGGGAAAATGCATCAGTTCTAAATTGCTAACTGATGTGGAACTGCCTAAAAGTGCTGCAAAGCGGAACTTCAGAGACAATAAACGTCCGTACCCAGTCCAACAACCGAAATAGATTAAAGGACGCCGCTCAAATGCATCGTCTAAACTGTTTTATCTAAAATAGCAAATAAAGCCCAAGTGTTAATTGGAAATTGTTAACGCCATGTGCCCGTCTTAAAGTACACAGGCAATGTACACTGGGTTTAATTCTAACAAAGTGTTGTAAAATAATATCCAGCCATAAAAATACGAAGCCAGGATAATCTCAGCACTCCCTTTATACAAAAGCAAACGTATTAAACCAGAGACTCAGGGGAAACCGAAGATGTTCTTTTCTGGCCTACAGGCCAATAGACTTGGTAAATGCCACTAGCACGGGGTCGCTCCGAATTTAAAGGTGCCATGATATCGTCTTCTATATAAGAATGTTTTTCGCATTCAGAAATTAACACGCTTAAGCAAAAGGACTCTTTTTTATGACTGTTTTTGTGGCGTTACGTTCAGTGACCTTGGTTTTCTGGTTGAAACTAAAACTGCATCTCCTAAAAAGGATACTCTGTTCTAAAGAAGGATTTTTTTACAAAGGTGAGTTTAAATCATCATAAAGCTTCGGGGTAGGTATAAACTACTTCTAACTCTGAGGTAGTCTTAAAAAACACTATGTTTTTGTAGACGGCTTAATTGCTAACCCTGGCGAAAACGAGTTTGGTTCATGTCAGCTGCCCACCCGAAAGACTTTTGGATAAACCAAAAATGGCCTGACATAATTAACCTTGTCCCAATGGTCGCATTTTCTGAAGTATTTCTTGGAACTTGCCTTTTTGCTCCTATCGGCAATGACTTAACTGTAGTCCGAAAAATAATCTTGTTATGTCGCCGAACGCTAGATCAAATTAATTTTGCCCTAGTTCTGATGGAACTCTTAATTGTTTACATAGAAGATACTATCGGAATAATTCTTCTGTCGGACTTGGAAAGCAGAGCAGGAAACGAAAAACAAAAAGACAAATTCGAGCTGACAAAATGGAATTTGACAGGGTAGTGTGCTTTTTTAAACATGAACTTTTGTTCAGATGGGAATATCTTAATTGCACCGAGCTAATTTTGCCAATTTTCAAATATTTTTATCATCCTGAGGCCTATGCTCTAATTTTTATAGTTACCGCGACTGCGTTTTTGACATATACTAAATAAACTGTAACTGTGTAATTACTCGTTAGTGCAATAGGAGAACTGTCAAAAGGGCCATTTGAAATCAGGGAAAAGGTTACTTTTAATGGTAGCAGCAGTAACTAATAAAATAAAATATGAATAAACGAAAAGGGCGGTCGGGCACCAAAACAGTTAGCTTATCATTCTGGGCTCTAGAACCTGTGCAGAAGTTCATTGTCAAGGATATCAGTAGCAACAAAAAGCTAGACATTATACTTGGTGCGAACCAATCAATTATCAGGGACGCAAATTTAAAGGTGACTGCGCAGGGCTCCATACGCCAGCGCAAAACCGATTTATTGAGCTCCCAGCCGTTCATCAGGTTAAAAAGGTCTGAGTGCCCACTTCTAGCAACTTCTACGGACCACAATCAAATACCCCGTTAGAAAGTAGGGATAAGCAGAACAGTTTCGAATAATTTTGTCTCCCTCGATTTCCACACAAAATAAATGCAAGTACACTTACTTCTTCTCCTCTATCTGGAGTTCCAGGAGCGCTTTCAGGTTTTCATTCTTGTGAAGCAGCTGGTTCACCTCGTATTTTAGTCCGTTGTATTCCTCAAGCTGAAATAGTAATGGGTTGCTTAGAGCCATATAATTGGACCATATAATTGCAACCAGTGTAGTGCGCGTGTTCTGCACCACGCTTTCTGCAAGTGAATGCTAACTCAGAATGCTTAAAAGAAGCCAAAAAATTAAGATATTTTTAATTGGACAAAATTATAAAAAAAAACTGGGCGGCCTTGGCATGATTTGAACCCACGCCAACAAGGGGAAGGCTTTTGTACAGCCGCCGCTCCAGTCAACTGTGCTACGGGATCCCCACAGGGAGCCGTGAGTTTAACTACGCCTAAGTAAGTTTACCCGCCCAGTATGTGACTGAAATCAAGGCTCCCGGTCGGGGACCCGTAACTCAGTTGGCTAGAGCGTTGGCTGTAATTAAGCCTTCCACTCGCTGGTGTGAGTCCGAATCTGATTAAGGCCACCAAATTTTGCACAGTTGAGTCAAATGGATCATTCAAATTTACCCACCCTTCCCTCCCCACTATTAATTAAGATACAATAACAACTTTTCCGAAGCCAGTTCGTATTCTTCAAGAAATTCAGTGGATATATAAGAAGGTGCACTTAAAAGTCTAGGAAATGTACGAGGGCAGGTATAAACGTCAGTGTGGATTTTTCATTTCTTCAGATATTAATGGCTAAACTAGAGTAAACCAGTTTGACCAAAAATTAATGAACATTTGTTCTGACGTCAATTAGTCGCTGTAAGATAACCACGTTAAATTCATTCAACTGCCAACACTCAGACAGTAATAAAGGCTAATATTAGAGCCTTCAAGTACCATACTGGACTTCGTTCCAAATATTTATATGAAATTTCGGCCCGCCTTTTTATAAACGTTAGTTGAGACTAATTTATTTCAAGTTAGCAATCACTTTTCTGAGGAAATTTACAGGTAGCAATTTAAAAACGAGAATATCTACAAGAAAGTAGAGAGGGGGATATGGGGCGACATACTGTTGAACTGAATCTATCACAGCCGAGTCATGCCTATAGCGGCAAAATATCGGCCAAGACACGGGCCTTGATTTTCAGCTAATACCTGCGTTGTCAGTACAGTAGTCGCCGGCTATTAAGCCCACCTCAGGCCCAGACCAAATTGGGTTTAATAAGCGGCGGATGCAATAACCGGAGAGTCCTAATTCTTGATTAGTAAACGCAGGATAGGCACTATTGGTTACATACGTACTGTATTATGTGTAGAGCTTGGTTATGTACAAGAAAAGAA